GAGAACGCAAGTTCACACAGCTCGTCTGGCGCTGGCCCTTCCTTTTTCAAGGAGAGTTTTGTTTTGGGCTTCATCAACGGTTTTCTTTGCTTCTTTTTCATTTTTAGTACGATCATATTCATTGGCAACCGCTGTTATCCTACAAATCCGACCTGGCGATGTTGCTTTGAACATTTTTCTGTAAAGTCGCATTTGTGAACTACTCAACAATTGCGTGAATCCTTTATATAGAATACCGTTATCACTGTGACGATGGCAGATGTCTTCATTGATGACCTGTTTCAACCCCAGTAGCGGTAATATGGCCCGCATCTGTAGGGTCCATATCCGAGGTAGGGTCGGTATCCGTAATATGGTCCGCATCTGTAGTAGGGATTATAGTATCCGTATGGGTAGTATCCTCCCATGACGCAGAACACGCCTTTCTTTGGATCCATTGGCGGTTCAGGAATCGCAGCCTTGTCCTGAAGTATGCAGCATTTTCTTTTTTCAGGATACGGAGATGTATACTATACATTGATGTTTACTTATTTTTGTTTGTTAATCCCGTCTGGGGCGAAAGTTTTGTTCACGACCCAGCATTCTTGTGATGTTTACTTAGTTTCTTCAATATAAAATTGTCTTCCTGAAGAAGAAATTCCCGAAAAGAAACTTCACTTTGGTAATTATTCTTCTTTTGCTTCACCTCAAATCACACCTCAAACGAAATCCTTCTTTACCAGGCTGCCCAATCAGGTCTAGCTTTTCAAAAAATCATAATTCTATCGAGACTTTTCCTAGCGCAACCCTTTCCATTCCCTAAATTTACAGTCTATCGTTGTTGACCAGGGGATCAGCCATCATTTTGAGAAAGCAGACGTCTTCAGAAGCTGTTTAGCAGGTCATGGAAAAATCAAAGAAACATACCGTCTCCTTTACCTTTGCAGCTGGTACTGATATTTGGGTCGTTGCAACCGAAACAATAAGCGGTAATAGAATATAAACGAGTTTCATCTGAAATCTTGAATTTGAAGTGAATTTATATTTTGGCGCTTTTCAAAGAATCTTCGGTTCAGTTCATCGTTCGGCCGTGGAAAGTAAGCGAGCCAGAAAGCGTGCTATTAAACATGTCGGTTCAGACTGTCTGCATTTGGAGAAAGCTGATACGCTTTCACGTACGGATGGGATGCTATTTGGTGCTTTCGTATTTCTCCGGAACTTCATTGTGAACTTCGAATCATGACACCGATTTGGTAACACCGAGGATTCTCAGGGTCAACTAATCCTCGTTTGTAATATTGTAATGTATTTTGTAATACAAAGATAGGGTAGCGAATCTTTTAGTGTCGCTTTTCTGAGTTCAGGAAGTTTTGGGGCCGATTACTATGGAAAATCAATATCCCAGAAGGCAGTTTTTGCTCATTAATATTGCGAAATATGTTGCTTACCGTCTTCTATTGTTGGTTCACAATTTAACTTTCCCCCAATTTTTATACTTTCTTCTGAAAATTCCTGGGTCCAGTGTGCAAATTCGCATGTGTGTACCAAATGCATCAAAATTCTTGCTGAGAGCTGTAACCTCCGCCCACCAAACCAGCATTGCATTTGATGGAGGGAATACTACCATTTAAAATGCTCATCGGTTTTTCACAGTTTTCTTAAAAGACAGTAAAGTCTTTGAAGGGATGCCCGCAACCGTCGCCAAAAAGGTGGTCCTAGCTAAATCAGTCAAAACGGGGCTGCACCAGTCTTGTGCTGGAATGGTAGGACACCCTAGCAGTTACTGATCGATGGTGCACAGACGCTCTAACGAAGTTGATTGACCAAGAAATTCTAATAAATGTGCTCATCTGCTACTCACGTGTGCTCAAAAAGGGTGCGTTTTTGACCCTATGTGGCAAAAAAGACTCCGGGAAAAATTGTCCAGTTGAGCTGGTAAGTAATAAATTTTCCACCAAACAGTGCAGACCCTACTCTAACTAAATGTATACATATTTTGTCCAGGCCCAACTGTTTAGCAAGGTAGAGGGATGATTTGTCAGATGATGTCAAATTCGACCTACCTCTCTTTTTCGTCTCAAAAAATTCCTAACTTTAATCGTACGAGGTTTTCACTCATACTGGTAAATGGGAAAGGGCTAATGAGTCATTCGATGGATATGCCGTTTCACTCACTGGATTTTGAATTAAAATATTGGTGGTCCGAAACTCGCGGTGAAAAAACGACACTAAGATATCCGGTACCTAATACTAAAGACTAGCATAAAGTGTCCACAAGTGTCAGGCGCTACTGCACTTCGCCAAAACAAACGCACGCTCTCGCTCTCGCATCACCCGAAAAGTATATTAAAGGAATCCTCCACGGAAAAAGCTCCGCCCTCATTACCACAGAAAACGATACCTTAAAGGAATCTTCCACGGAAAGAGTGATCATTTTGTCTTGTGTGTAGGATTAGTATTATCGAAACTAACGCTTATGTTCCGTTCTTTTTGCTATGCTCATGAGGCTAGGGGCCTAAGGGGTATCGTTTTTCTGAGGTAAGTGGGGGGCGGAGCTCTCTTCCGCGGAAGATTCTTAAAGCAACAGTTCAGGGAGGGTCCGAAAATTTCAATGCCACTACTACTGAGGGATACACGAGCCCTAGTGAAGAACATATGCAGTGGAAATAATAAACGAACTTACCTCAGAAACTCAAAAACAGGGTGGAAAGTCCCTCAAACATGGGTGTTCTTGGGGATTTCCCCAATCCCGCCCCCTTGCCGGCCGTCATTGGACGCGTCGGCAATCGTGCTCGTTTTGGGACCACAGGGAAAATTGATTGAAAAATGGAGCGCGTTTACAGCGGGCACGTTCAGACAACTCGTCCAACGTGCGTCTTTATCCATTGCTGAGCGGCAGAGGGAGAGTACCTGTCTAAGACCCTCCCCGACGTTTTTTTCCAGTTTTTCATACATTAATCGTCTGGTTTTCATCTACAACTTCATTATTGGTGGTTTTTTCCCGCGAAACCGTTCCTGAACTGTTGCTTTAAGTGTTTGACATCGTGGAGCGGAATAGCTGAGGATTGCATCTCTAGAACTAGTCCCACAATCAAGACTGACACGTACAGGTTACTCCCTGCACGTCTTAGTGGATATTTTTAGGAGGGTCTTTAGCAGCTCCCGACAGGTGAACAATCATGTAGTGTACCTTCAAATCCGGTGAATGCGATGACTAGGAGGTGGAGCTAATTCGAAGGCGCTGTTGATAAGAGGGCGTTGCTCTTTTTCAAGCGCTCGACTGCTTCAGTGGAGCGCGCTATGAATTTTGTGACACAATCACAAACAGGCAAACTTAGCGTTTTATGTAAAGTAGGGGCGATAAGACTGTATTGGTTAGGAAAAAGTTAATGGAAGTCTAATTCAAAATCGTAGGTGTGGTGATTTCCACCATCAGTAATCGCCTTTTATACTGTCAGAGCTTTTCAAAATTCTACGAATTTTCTTTAAAAAATCGCAATCATCACGTCAGATATCATGGAATCCAGCTTTCGCAATAACTCTTTGTTTACTTTCGAAATGGTAGCCCATATACTTGGATGTTCCATGTGAAATAATGTGATCAAAATGGGATTCCTGAACAATGTGCATCCATTCATGTTTTGCGAATTCGCCGCCCTATCGTTATCCAGGTATAGGCTGTTTTTTGTTACAGGTGATGTGACTAGGATGAAGGGTGACTCAAATTCAGCGTTCATGATACCCGAAGGCAAGACGCCAACACTTCTCCTGCCCTTCAGAGTCTTAGAAGTTCTCAAATGTGCCGTGAATAATAACTTGTGGTTATCAGTCTGTAATGAAGCATGTAAGTCAAGTTTAAATATATTAATGCTTACACGAAGCAAGAGAGGCGGAGGTTTGTGTCAACTTGGTCAGCATTTTGGAGATCAAATGAGCGGTAGAGAAGGACCTTGCCATAAAGACAAACAACTGTGTGTAGAAGTACCTTATGAGTATCTAGATGGTTTTTTTCTATAGAAGGACATATCTCAGCGCACCCTTATTAATCTATAAAAAGGCTGGACTCCCGAAGGCACGGGGAAGACCCCACTTGTTTTCGTTGAAGCTGGTGTAAAAATCAACGCAGAGGTTTACAAAAATATCCTGGAGGAAGTTCTCAAGCCGTGGGCCAACTCCCATTTCGGAGAAGCCTACTGGTGCTTCCAGCAGGATTCTGCTCCAGCACACAAAGCAAAGATGGTCCAGGAGTGGTGCGCCGAGCACCTGCCCGACTTCATCAGACACGACGAATGGCCCTCCAGTTCTCCTGATCTAAACCCGATGGATTACTCTGTGTGGTCCATCTTGGAGAGCAAAGCGTGTTCTACCAGACATCCAAACTTGGACTCTCTTAAGGCGGCGCTTTCAAAATCTTGGGACGAAATCGATGACCAGTACCTGCGTGCCACATGCGAAGCATTTGTCGAACGTCTGAAGGACTGTGTGAAGGCTAAAGGAGATCATTTTGAGAAGCATTAACATTTTTTGTATTGTCATGTTTGTAGTAAATAATATTGATAATTAGAATTGATTTGTGAGAATTATTGTCAAAATGCCATTGAAAATTTAGTGCACCAGTAATTTTGCCCCACCCTGGAGAACGGCTACAAATGTCTACATGAAAACGAACTCCTATTTTGGTTTCTCTGTAGAGGGTGGGCACTAGAAATCCTTTTCGCCTCCTCACCTGAAGAAAAATAAAACATTTCTTTCTTTTATTGCCTCCTATGTCATCACGCTGAAATTCTATGTTTCCACTCCGAACTAAGGGGCAATCATAAATGTAATTGCTGTTGTGCCATTCTGTTTTTTTGGCACTACAATGTTATGACATCATTTTTCAGGCAGTGTTGCTCGCTTTGCGAGCATTTATATCAAAAAGTAGCATAAGTATCCTTGTGTAACCTTCTATTTAACCAAGTTTCTCTTTTATTTATTTTTTAGTTTTTTTTTGTGTCTTTTGTTTTGAGTAGCCATGTATCTACCGAGGCAAGCCGCGACACAATACAGTTTCAGCATTCCAATGGCATAATTTTTTCCACTGGTCTGATTCCGCCAGCGTCCCACCGATCCCCTGCCGGTCCTGGTTTATGCGATTTCTGTGATTTCGCTATTGAGCAATGCGGCTCTTCTTTACGTGTACATTCAGTGCCCTTTAAAAAGAATAAAATCCTACAAGTACTTTTTTCTACTGACTGTCATACAGGACGTTATCTACACTGCCGTATTTGCCATAGATATACCGGTTAGCAACTCTGAACTATTGTTTATTTGCATTAAAATGTAGCAAGGAGCAATTATTATAAATATAGCCAGTACCAGTTATTATAAAATTTCTTCACTAAATGAAAATGAAAGTATCTTACGGAGGACACCTCCGATTTTTCAAGGCTTCCTGAAACCAAAAAAACTGTGCGCATTGATCCTGCGGGCGTCGCTAGTGTATAACCAAAACGGCTGTGGTACAGCGCTTTCCATCACTGCCGTGATAACTGAACACGGCTGTACTGGCGTCCGGCTCCAATGGAATAACTCTACCGGCGGCACGGACGCGACGCGTGCGGGATGACAGCTCACTTTGACGTCGGCCCGTCGAATCGAGCAGATTCGCGCGACCAACGCGGATACAGGCATTTTACAGAAAGTGGTTCAGACACAGCTTTATTGGTCCTTCATGGCCAAAGAAAAGGAATTGCAGTATATCGGAATGCAGCGCCGAAAAAACAGTAATTGCTGATGAAATTTTGCCATCATAAGGTACGCAGGAGTCACAAAAACTTACCATAAGTTTTTTTTCAGCGTATCATCTCACAACAGGGTATTGTCGTGCTGATTACTACCGGCATAGTAAATCAACAGTCAAATTCATTTGCTTCGATTCTTCTTTATGGTGTGGTCTTTTTTGTTTCAACTGTTCTAGTAACGAACAGTTTTATATATCGCTATTTAAATCTATGCAGGTGAACAAAACTTCTGTGCATGAGTCATTATTCCACAGCCAGCGGTCGCCGAGTGTTTACGTGACAGCATGTTGACAATATCCTTCTGTTGGTTTATCAAGGAGAGCTCAATTGGGTTAGGGGCCCCAGGACGAAAATCCGCCAAGGCCGCGCCATGAACCCATGAACCAGAACAAGCAGATATGTGAAAGCAGTAGAGGCATGGTATTGCAAACTGATAGTACAAAAGTGATGACGTTGGTAACACAAGAGGTCTCGCGTACTACACGCACACTGCATTGTCCTAGTGGACAAATCCTCGGTCGAACTACACAGGGCTAGGTAATCTATCCACCACCGATCAGCTATTAGGTTGTCGGAAAAGTCCTTGCACATTTAATTCTTCATGCTATTGTTTAAGCATCATTTGACTGGTAAACTTTTCCTAGTAAAAGAAAATCGTTGAAAATGGACTGTCCAACGAACCACAATCATCGACGATCTTCAGGGCGAAACTTGTTCATAGAGTATCCTCCAAGAGATTTCTGTTCACTGGCTGTTTCTTCAACCTGGTCGTATTGTCGAATGCGTCCATTGTTTTATACTTCGCAATTTTGCCTGATAAAAGTTTGGCCGATATTGTGATCAACACTGTGGTAATATCTGGTATCAATATGCGTCAAGCAGCGTTTTTTGGAGTTTCGCTGAAAGTAAGTTCGTAAAACAGATCGCGATTCGCTTCTTCTAAATATTTTTTCTTTAACTTTTTCTATTTCTCGCTTTCCTCAATACAAGCTTGGGCAGATTTCAACAACATATTATTCCATTAATAGCAGAAGTATTCGCAATATGTCCTCAGGTTAAGTATCCTAAATTTTGTCGTAGCATGCAAAATTTCGCCTACACATCAAATTGCTCGCCTTATGTAAAACTCCAGCGAAAGCTGCACTGATTGCTACAGTGTTTTCCAGTACCATCTAAATATACCGCGAATTCTTTTGTTCTTCCAACTAGGAACTTTAATTCCTCTTTTTTTTCTTCGGGCGGAAGTGGTGTAGTGGCAAGTGGCACGCTCACCACGCGAGCGGTCCGGGGATCAAATCCTGGGTCGTGAGTCGCCCGGGCCAACCAAGCCTTCCATCCCTCCGGGGTCGGTTAATTGGTACCAGACTTGTCTGGGAGGATAAAAACACTGACTTGTACATCGGCTGGCCCCCGCAAGTCATAGGCCACATCGCATTCAAACGCCACTACGAATGTACAAATGGAAGTAGAATGCGTGCCGCATCCCAAAAAGGGATTGATCAACGGCAAATGCTTTATCCTTTTATTTTATTCTTTTTCTCCGCGGAATGTTCAAAAGGTTAATTGACGGAAACCAGTGGCAGTTCGTCATAACCTTACACTCTCATGACCAAGAGTCGGACTGAGAAACAATTAAGGCAATAAGCAGGGAAATGTTCTTCCATGTTTGCCTTTCTCGGTTACAGCGTAAGACTTTTGTGTGTTTCATTCGAGTGGAAAGTATACTAGAACAACGGTTTCATCAAATATCTAAAGAACGGATTCAACCACCATCCTTTCTTTAGATATCCGTTAATAAATTTCAATACGCCTTTGGAGAACTGCTCGGATTCCCATGATGTGTTTACAATTTTTCTGATCAGCACTTCTACATCTCCGTAGGTGTCCGCTCCATCAGGAAATTAGTCCTTTGTGCTGGCCGTCTCTCAGACATCGCTTTGGCTGCGAGGAAATTCTTTCACGATTGAGGTCGCGCATAACGGCGAAAACCAGCGGCAATTGCTTCATCAGAGAAAAACTCCAGAAAACGGCGGGTAAAAGCCTGGAGCCTGTTCCCCAAAAGTCGGTGATGCTTCCCGAAGTTAGTCTGCGGTCGCAATAACATGAGAATGGCAAGACACCTCTCGTTTTTGTTGATAGAAACATCGAAATCAACTCGGAAACCTACCACAATGCTAAAATGAGGGACACACTGATGTCGCGGGCTCCTAAACACTTTGAAGGACGAAATTTTATTCTGCTGCAAGAGTAGGCGCCAGCACATGGTTTTGAAATCTTTCTCGAGTTCCTTCTGCCAACGTCATTTTCCTGGATTCTGGGACAAAGATTTGTGGCCATTTGACTCCCAAGACCTCAATCGAATGGGCTATTTCGTTTGGAGTTATAAGTAGCCGGAAGTGTCTTCTTCTTCCCACCGCAGTTTGGATAGCCCTGAAAGCAGCGCTTCAGAGAGGATGGCAAAAAATTGTCAACTGCCTGCGGCCCACCGTGGAAGCCTTTACCAAGAGATTGGAAGCTTGGATTCTGGCAAAAGGTGATCATTTCGAGCGGTACCTCGAGTAAATGTTCCTGTATCTAGATCTTATCATTTGACAAAATTTTATGAAAAACTGCGTCGTATTTATTTTTTTCACATGCGAATAAATACCGGGACCACACATTGTAGCCACCCTGTAGATGCTGCCTTTGCGGAGAGGTTTTGACACTTTTGCTTTTGCTTTCTTACTTTCACTGCTTTTGCTCATTTTCAGTATGGCGTCAGTGGCTTCCGTCCTGTGATGATTCTAGAATTAGTGCTTCTGTTAGCTGTGATCGCATCGATCAATCTCTACTGTGGGATGAAAATAAAGTTCTTCCTGAGGAAAGCCACACAAACCAGCAACTTTTTGACACTTCAACGTCAAATGTTTCTTCAAATGTCAATACAGGTAAGCATCTCATCTCTCGTTCATCTTGAAAAATTGAATTTCCGCACTGGTTTTCCTAAATTACAGAAGAAAGCAGAAGAAGAGAATTGCATTCAGATCCAACTTTCTAGGTGGTCAAGGAAGTAACGTGTTAAAAAGAAATAATAAAGAATAAGTATAAATTTTGAATATTGAATAGCAATGAATCATTGAAAGCATGATGAAGTACAATGTTGTCTGAACCGAGCAACGATGTGTGAATCAAGTCCGAGACAGCCTGCCCACTGGCGCGGATTGCCCCTGCCGGTTACGAGCTCAGGCTCTTGCTCGCTACTGCTCGTGTTTAAGACACAGCAACAAACGACTGCTACCCGCGAGAATCACAGCAAGTCCCGTACGTGTAGAGACTGCTTATTATCAGCAATTGTACAGATGCCCGTTTACGCCACAATTAAACGTAATTTAGAGATTTTTTTCATATCTACTGAGAATTGGCTGGCTGCGTGGCGCTGGTGGAGTAGCAGTAAGGTCCTGAAGACGACGAATTGTTCGAAACGTCGACCGAATAAATCTATTCCACCGTAACAACCTGTATGGCATAGCAACAACAACACGAATATAGAGAATTCCCTCATTACAACATACAATCAAATAATAACTGATGAAAAATTTTGCGTTGATCAATCACATTTTTTGGGTTACACCATGCACCTTACTTCCGTTCAGTGCCGTATGCGATTTCTGTTAGTGTTTTCATTCCCTCATACAACCTTTTGTACCGGTTAACCGATAACGGATCAATTGAAAGTTGGCTTTGCAAATTCGCAGTGCAGTGGCATCCGAGCGCGGCATCCGAGCGGTACATATGCAGTAAGTCTAGAAACGCCTCAAATGCTCGCGTTTAGAGGAATGAACTGAAACGGACCATTATATCTAGATGCCGGTATCAAGTTCTTTAATCGTCGTATATCGCCCTCGCCCTGGATGTACCAAGTGTGCAGGGAGTTGAGAGCAGGGTGAATAACGGTCGAGGAAATCCTCGACCATAGCTCTGTATGTGCGAGTAGTGCCGAGAGTGAACATCCGCGCGGAGAGCACAGACGGCACGCGCATGGCGAGTGTGAATGTCCGCGCGAGAGATCGTAACTGATCGGGCGAAAATCCTCGACGTGCCGTTGAGGAATCCTCGACCGATATTCCCTGATTGAGAGTGTGTCAAGAATACGTCTTACTCGACAGGAACACACTTCAAATTGAAAAACTGCAAAGAAATGTCACTCTTGATTTTATGATTTTTTAACAGTTTATATTCATGCAGACAACTGAGATGGTGAAGAAAAGGGCTACTATAAAGTTTTACACTGTTTTGGATGGCTCCAATGCTATTGTTTTTCAGGCTGCCTGTCCGGTTGTATTCTTGATGGTACCATATTGCATCGCTGTGTTTTTCCTGTTCACTGGTATTGAGACTAACTCACAGATCACCATTGCCCTTACAACGCTTCTCGCGTCACGTATCCAATATCTAACTCACTAGTTATCATTATGTTTCATAAAAGAATATAGGAACTTTGTACTTGTTAAGATGAAATTGAGAATCCGCAAGGACCAACTAATCCGCTTTTTCCAATTGTTATAAGGATAAGTGAGGTACATGCGACTCCTTCTTGAAACAGCTTTCGCTTAGTGGAGCATGATTTTATGTGCAGTTGATCAGCTTGACTTTGCGTTTCATGTTCGGCTT